AATGGGAAAATAAATGCGAGTCAAAATTCATGTGAATATCCTATATTTCCCTCAAACATCCTATATAGGCATTGTTCGACATTTCCCACCCCCATAACTCGGTCAAAACTTATCCGATTTTCATAATGTTTGGCTTTTTGTCAACGGTTGGACCTCTAGATTAATTTCGCATTTAAATCTGGCAACATTATTTTTGGTCAAAATTCATGTAAAAATGGTACCCTCAAATATCCCATATGGACATACATAGGTCGAAATTTCCACTCCCATAACTCGGTCAAATCTTGTCCGATTTTCACGAAGTTTGGCTTTTTGATAATGGTTTGACCTCAAGATTAATTAGGCATCTAAATATGGCAACAACATTTTTGGTCAAAATTCATGTGAAAATAGTTCCCTCAAATATCCTATATGGACATACATAGGTCGAAATTTCCCACACCCATAACTCGGTCAAAACTTAACAGATTTTCACGAGGTTTGGCTTTTTGTTAATGGTTTGACCTCAAGATTAATTTGGCATCTAAATTTGGCAACAATATTTTTGGTCAAAATTCATGTGAAAATTGTACCCTCAAATATCCTATATAGTCATTAGTTCAAATTTCCCACCCCCATAACTCGGTCAAAACTCATCCGATTTTCATAATGTTTGGCTTTTTGTCAACGGTTGGACCTCTAGATTAATTTCGCATTTAAATCTGGCAACATTATTTTTGGTCAAAATTCATGTAAAAATGGTACCCTCAAATATCCCATATGGACAAGGTCGAAATTTCCCACACCCATAACTCGGTCAAATCTCGTCCGATTTTCACGAGGTTTGGCTTTTTGTTAACGGTTTGACCTCTAGATTAATTTAGCATCTAAATCTGGCAACATTATTTTTGGTCAAAATTCATGTGAAAATTGTACCCTCAAATTTCCTATATAGACATGTGTCAAAATTTCCCAACCCATAATTAGAATTGAAGAATTAAATTTTAACTTAAAAAAGGCCTTAAGAAAAATTAAGGGGAATCGAAGAAGTCTTTATAAATGAGCTTTGAATGTCAGTGAAAAGATCTAAGGAATCAGAAATTTAATAATATTTCAAATGGAAAATGAGTAAGTAAGTTTCCTCAGTAAGTTCCCGGTAAGTTTCCTCAGTTTAACTTGACTTAATCCATTTAAAAACAAACCGCAAGAAAACTAACACAAGCAGCATGATTGATAAGTTTCCCAGAATTTCCCAAAGAATGTGACACATGTTTTATTTAAAACTTTTATTGTGTAAAGTGCATTATAAAATTGTTATAAAAAAACCTGTAGGCATAATAATCTTTATAATGTGCATACTCAGTTATGTACTCGAATGCGAGTGTGTAAATATATATTGGCACGGCTAACAAACGTGTGTGGAGTGTATATTTATATGGTACTATATACTATATATATATATATATATATATAAATGTCTAGGCACTTTAAATACATGTAAAAAGGAGTTCAACCTCGTAATTGTGCACAGTTGCATGGCTAGTGGATACGCTAATCTAGGCATATAGAAGTGTATAATCTGCGTCTGATCAGATCTTTTGTGCGTATTCGAAATACTGTTTGGGTTTCTTCCGTTCCCGGTTAGGCTGGAATAATGCTGCGCACACAGGCGGGACTGCAAAAGGGCATGTCCTGCTTGACGCAGAAGCGGCCGCCAATCAGGGACTTGGCGCACTGGGCCCCGGCGCACACAAAGCACGGCCCGTGCCAGTGGATGTCGCCCCAGGCCACGCCCTGATCGGCTGGTCCGATGGGCAGCTGGCAGCGCTTGCAGGTGCCGGCATAGAACTTGTCGTAGCACTGCAGGCAGAGCGGCATGTTGGACTTCTCGTCGGGAATGTACTGCTGCCCGGCGAGCGGTTCGTCGCACTGCAGGCAGCAGAAGTGCTTAATGTGGTACGTGGCGCCCTCGGCGGCGGTGTACTCCTTGGTGAAGATCAGCTCGTCGCAGGCCTTGCAGCGCGGTATCTTCAGCTTGATGGCCAGATCGCGGCCACAGTAAACCTGGCCGTGATGGAAAAAGTACACCAAGTCGGCCAGCAGCTCACGGCAGGTGTGACACTTGAAACAGCCCGGATGCCAGGCAATCTCTTTGCCCGCCCGCTCCGCCTTGACAGCTACCTCGCCCAGCTCAATAGCTAGACCGCAATCGCGGCAGCTGATATTGGGCAAAGCTACCGATCCTGCTCCTGCGGAATCTGTGCAATTGAGTATATCAATAGTATAACTGCAAATTGGACTCTATTGAGAGGTACTCACCTCCTCTCGCCGGGTTGTCGTCGCCCAGCTGCAGCTGCTGGAACTGCTCCGGCATGGCAGCACAGTTGGGATACATGTTCATATGCTCAATGCCCGGAATGGTGGTGAACCTGCCCAGGCTGGCGTTGATATCTTCGCCCGCGTGCCCGGGCGTCGATGGCTTCGAGCAGAAGCCGGAGTCTTGGCTCGCCGAGTTGGTGAGCGTCTCGTTGCCGTAGCTGATGTCGCCGCCAGCTGCATTGGCCATATTGGCGAACAGCTTGTCAATGTCGTCGAGCAGCTGCTCGTCGTTCAGCAGCCAGTCGTTCATCTGCTTGAGCGGCTCCAGCAACTGGCACTGGTCGTGTCTGATGCCCTTGTCCTGCAGCGTCTGGAAGAGGCGACTGTAGTAGGGCGCGTTGGCCGCCGCCGATTGCAGCATCTGCTTGTCCACGCCCACGCGCTGCAGCTGGGCTTTGGTAACGGGCGCCAGGCCCTCCAGCTGCTGTAGATTATCGGTGGCCACGGGCGCCGAGGCAATGATCACCGACGGAGCTGTGCGTCCGGAGCGCGCCTCCTGCAGTGCCTGCTTCAGCGGCTCCGCCTGCACGATTTGGGCAAAGACCGGATCGCGCTCGTAGTCAATGTGGGCGGGCAGTCCACAGTCGTACAGAATGGTCGACACGCCGCCAAACTTGACTCTTCGCATGGGCGTGTCCTGCCGCATTTGGGCGCCAAAGCGAGCCTGCACCGGATTCTTGAGCGGCAGCGGCGAGTGAAACGGCGTCGCTGGCGACGATTTCAGCGGAGTCGTCGCCAACGCAGGCGGCGCACATACCGTATTAATCTCTGCCCTAAACTGGGGATTGCTGGCATATTCCTTGCGAAACTCCGAGATTGGTCCCAGCCTGGCATCCCGCGAAATATTCAGGTTCTTCTCCTGCAAGTGGAAGTGCAATGGCCGGTTTTCAAAAAAGGGAACTATGCCATATCTTAAGATCGACTCCATGAAAATGGAATAAGATATCGATAAATTCGTTGTGCGCATGCTATTGGGAATTGATGCTAAATACATTTAAGACGGGATTCACCTCTCTTGAAAAATGTATTTAATGGTGAAAACCAGCTATTGGAAACCCGTATTTTAAAGAAATACAACTCGAGACAAATCCACCAATTCTTATAAGAATCTGCATATGCGGATTCAAACTGACGACTGTGTGCTATGATATTTTACACTGTTTTTTTTTCACTATTCTGCGGTTGACAAAAGCTGAATGAGATATTTTGTAACAAAAAAAAACTGCAAGATCTAACTGTTCAAATTTGAAGACTGTTATACTGTTATTTTTGAGTTTTAGCGCCATCTAGATGACTGAGGCGGAACTTACCTTCAGCAAGCCCAGGAGCTTGTCATAGACGACGCCGTGGGTGACGAGGCTTTGCATTGATGGCTTGCTAATGCCCAACAGTTTGACCTTGGTCTCGGCACGCAGTGCGGGATGTGCATCGAACTCGGTTGTGGAGTCGCTCAGCGGCTCCGAGAAGGCCACCAGCAGCTTGGGCTGCGCATGCGCTCCTTGTTGGGCGAGCGCGTGCGCCAGCTTCTGATTGGACAGCAGCTCGTTCAGTGTGGCATCGAGAACGGGCGGCAGGCCGAGCGAATTGAACAGCTTGCGGGCGGCTTCCGGCAAGGCTGGCGACGGCTGTGCCGGCACAATGTGCTCCACATGGCCGTGCGCTAGACGACCTACGCGCACCACGATGCCTTGGCCGACGCACTGATCGCGCAGCTTTTGCACATATTGCTGTAGTTGCTGGGCCTCGGTTTCGGTGAGATTGTCACAGAGCGCGGCGTCCAGGTCATGTGGCGGCACCTGGAACTCTAGCTGCTGCTTGCGCTTGTTGGCCGCGTCGCTGCCGGCAACGGGAATTTGAGCAGCGCCCAGCTTCTCCATGTAGTCCGTGATGACGTCGGGTGCTGCGTTCGGTGGCACCCATTCCACCTGCACCGGCTGGCTGGCCAGTGCCTTGATCTTGATGTCTGTCGGACGGGTATACATATAGCCATATGGATATTCTGAGGTTGATCTTGTACTTACATGCGGGCTTTGCTCGTATCTGGCCCAGGATCTCGAATTGCGCCCAGCCGGTGGCGTCGTCATCCGTGCACAAGTGCTGATCCTTGCGGCACATGCAATTGCGGCACACCTTGCGCCAAAAGTGCAGATCCAGCCCAGGACACTTGTCCTGGCACTCGCCACAAGGTGCTCCGGCGCCGGATTCGTGGCCAAGTTTTGAACGCTTCAGCAATTCCCGTCTGCTTTCCAGCTTGGACAGCCACTCTGGTGCCGTGGGCGTCTCCACGCAGGAGTTGGTGTTGCCATTGTTAGTCGCAGTGTTTGCCATTTCGTTAATGACTCATACCTTGGACGCCGGTCATTAATTTTATTAAATTTAATTGTTAAATTAAATAAAAGGCCAAATGAATGAAATTTCGCAAAGACAAAGCACAAAGCAGTGTGACCGGGCACGACAAGGACAAAAATACCAATTGCTAGAATGTGTAGCTAGTTTCGTTAGGTTTGCTCCACAATTCGTTTAGCCTAGACATCAACACTTTCAGCGAATGCAAAATGTTACACTCAGCTGATTTGCGAACTTCGAATAATAGTTAACTTGGCCGCAGCTCTTTCTGTGCATTGTTTTTCGCGAACGTGCAGCCCTGGCCAACAACCAAAACTAAATTGCCAGCCATTGCATAAAAAAACATACATATTCCGTGCAAAGACGTTTGAAATACTAAAATACGGATTAACTACGGGATGCGAAGAAATTAAGAAAATCGCTGGCGAAAAACTGTCGATAATTATATACTCTAGCAGCGTTCACGCAGAATTCGCGAAACATAAAAGAAAATGCAATAAATGTATGTGTATGTAGGTGGAAACAACTGCGTCCCACTGAAAAGTGAAAGTGCAGCAGGACAGACGACGACGACGACGGACGGACGGACGGACGGACGGACGGACGGACGGAAGAGCTTGACTGCGGCTAAAAAGTGGCCAAGAAACTGGCAAAGATAATCGCTTACAACTACAGCTGCAATTGTAATTGAAAATTGTTTTAATGTGCGTTTTACCGGTCTCGTACCATTCGACGACAACAAATTGACTTTGAATTTCGCACGGTGGTTGTTTTTGGTTTGCTGTCGTTTCCGCTTGTGTATGTGTGTGTGTGTGTGTGTTTGTGTATGCGTGTGACTCCTGGGGTAGGTGGGGGGAGCTGCATTTGAATTGAATTTTGAGTGCGTTTATAAAAAAGTGATTTAAATGTTGCTCCGTCAAGGGGTTGTCGCGGCAGTTAACACTACATATATGTATTTACATTTAAAAATTGATCGTTTTAGCTGCTGTGAGGGTCATTGAGTATCCATTAGCCAAATCAAACGCGGATTGCTGCCTCTTGATTCACCCGTAAATATGACCGAAAAGTACGACGGCAACGGCGACTACTCCTCGTACAATGAGGAAGACAGCAATGAGTATGTCGGAGGCGGCGGTGGCGGGGGAGGCGGAGGCAAGCCGCGCAAAAGTGTGAGCAGCGGCGGCGCCCACAATGGCGACAGCGGTGTCCACGATCATCACGGCGGACCCGAGGGCAGCGCCAATGTGCAGCTGAATGAGAAAGCCAGCGAATACATACGCGACTGCATGGCCGAGAAGAATCGCATGGACAGAAAGTTTCCAATTGCCGAGAAGCTATTGGAGGGCGGTAAGCGGCAGTCGAATTCACACTTTTCTTCTTTTCACCTGTTTTAATTGCCCTGTTTGCAGAGATTGAGAAGGTGCAGACCACTGGACGCATACCGTCGCGGGAACAAAAGTACGCCGACATTTATCGAGAGAAGCCGTTACGCATATCGCAGAGGGTTCTGGTTCCCATACGCGAGCATCCCAAGGTTATATTAAACAAATATGCACTCGTAATTATAACTAGAACAGAGGTTCACAAGTATTATCTCCGGCAATCAAAGCAAATATTTCAAAAATGCACCTTTTGTAGCTTTAAAATGCACATTTCACTGTCGGAATATCTTATCATCAAGTGTAGCTGGCATTCTAAGAGTATTAAAGAATGTATATAGAGGAATTTTAGTTGCATCGGTTATCTTTACTTTACTTAACAATATTGACTTAGATTACTCTAAACTGTTTAATTTATTTGACTCACGACAAGATTTCTTAAGTGTAAAGGGGTAATATTTAAACTAAAATGTTTGCTTTGATATATAATATGTACAACATTCTCTGCCTGTCTATTGTTCTTATGGACACCAATATCTGTGCTGTTAGAATGATATTTTTAGTGGGAGCCATAGATTAGTCTATTGTCACAGGAATTATCGCTCAAAAATTAATAGATTGCTTTGAATAACTAATTTTGTATACAGATAAATCCAAATTTAGCTTAACTTTCAGTCCAATCAGTTTTATTAATATGTGGCTAGGGTTTTTAAACTTTGCTGCTTCAAAATAAGTTGTTTAATCATGTTATTGTATTCACGTTTATTAACCTTAATGTTGTGACTAATGTCTATTGTTGCAGTTCAATTTTGTGGGCAAGCTGCTTGGACCGAAGGGCAACTCGTTGCGTCGATTGCAGGAGGAAACGCTGTGCAAGATGACTGTGCTTGGCCGCAACTCGATGAGGGATCGCGCCAAGGAAGAGGAGCTGCGCAGCTCCAAGGATCCGAAGTACGCGCATCTGAACAGCGACCTGCACGTAGAGATATCAACAATTGCGCCACCCGCAGAAGCATATGCGCGCATCGCGTATGCCATGGCCGAGCTGCGCAAGTATTTGATACCGGACAGCAACGACATCATACGACAGGAGCAGCTGCGCGAGCTAATGGACAGCACCAGCCTCAACGACAACGACACCAATGCCAAGAACAGCTACAAGAAGATGCCGCACATGCAAAACGCCAGCGTTGGTGCCAATGCCATGGCTGGGTCTGGGTCTGGGCCTGGGCCAGGCAACGCTGGAGGTGGTGGCGTGGGCATACCCAAAAATGTAGCCCATCACAGTTACAGGTAAGCCCTTAAGATACGCAGGCGTTGGTCAACCTAACTCGATTGATTCCCATTAGCAGAGGCTCCCAGCAGTCATCGTTTAGCAAAAATGTATTGGCCCCCAAGCAAAAGGTTATGTCCATTCTCGAAAAGGCCAGAACAGCAATGGACGAAACCTACGGGTGAGTTTCACGCTCCGTAACCGATTGCCTACTATTCTTATACTTATGTGGATTTCCCTTACAGTCGCGGCTATGACGACGGTATTGCCTATGATCCACATCAGTCCTACGACGCCTACAGCTATGCATCGCATAGCGGACACGGACACGGGCCCCACGGGCCGCCCAACAACATCTTGGGCGGCGTTGGCAACATCAGTGGCGTTGGCGGCGGAGCACGCGGTGGCCACTACGAAACCCAAGATTATGAAACAGACTACACAAGGCGGGACTACTACCAGCACTCGCCCGGATATGCAGGTACTTAAGATAGGTTTTCACAAAGATGAGGTTGGTAAGCTAAGAAGAATGATCTTCGAATGAGGATTCACTTCACATAATATTTGTTTGAATTAGTATGATCAATGTTTAATACTTTGCAGCTGGCGGCTCGGCGGCGCAATCAAACCCAAACAACTCAGCAGGCCTAAATTCAAATCATAATCGCAGTCATGTTAATAGGTGAAATTTGCTGGGGTGTAGCAACGCCGGCGATGGAGATGGTGTGAGAGGCACAGACAGTGCGACAAGTCCTATACCGAAAACCCACAATCTGATCAGGAAAGCCCAATTTGGTAACATCAGCAAAAGCAAAAACAACAAACACAACAGCAGCAACACGTTCGTGCCAAGCTATGATAAACATGAGCGCAGCAACAACACCAATAACAACAACAAAAGCGCCTGCTTAAAGGTAACAAGAATTGAAAACTCGGCTGATCCGCAGAGCAACAATTTTGAATTAAGAATCTCTGATAATAATCATGAGTATTTTATGCCACAGCAGCAGCAGCAACAGCAACAACAGACACAACAACATGCCCCACAACAATCAAAGACATTGGTACAGCAACAACATTCACAAAAAAAATACCCACCGCACAACAGTTACAACAAAAACAGCAACAATAACTACAATCACTTGAATAGGAAAAATTATAACAATTCCATCGATGCAACAACGACGACGTTATCAATAGCTTCTCATACACTGAACCAAACGGATCAGAATGCTGCAGCTGGCAGCAATCGCACCATCCACAACGACAACAACAACAACCACCACCACAGCAGCAACAACAACAACAACAACAACATTCACACATTAGGCAGTAAAAACAAGAACAACATGCAAAACAACCAGAACAACACAACAACTGTTACTGCGCCCAGTATGCTATTAGTAAGGTATTAAAAAGCAATTAAGAGCATAATTAATCAAATGGATATTACAACAACAATAATCCCTTGTCCAGTCCAGTTCAGAACTCCTTCACCGTTCCTTGCACACCCAAACGTTTGTCCACGGCTAATATATTACAAATGTAAATACATAGATAGTTTTCGTGATGCCTGCTTGCTTCAATATACCGATATGCTATATCTACCTATACATATCTAGCGCATATTATATATATATGAATATTTATCCTCAAGTTAAAACTCATCATGATACTCTATTTATTTACATTCGCTAGAAGCCGTTGACTAGAGACACCACCATACAGTTGAAATTTCTCTAAATACTCTTAACTTGCATTCTCTTACAGCCCTACTTATCCTACGCTTCATTTTCGTGAGATTCCGTTCTTGCCAGTGCAGTTTTTCTAATCCACATTCAAATCTAACCGATACAATAACAGCAAATACAGCAACAAAATATAGCTAAACAATAACAACAAATCAAGAGACAACATCACAAATACTTTGTACACTAAGAGGGAAGAATATTTACAAACGAAAAACTTAAGATATACATACTTATATATGTATATATAAATATATATACTAAATACAAACATATACAATATATACATTAAAATATATATATACATATATATATATATTTTTGAGTGCAAGGAAATCGTTGGATGATACAGCTGGATCTACAAATTGATATTTTACCTTGTGTTGGCTGATGGACGATGGACAATTTATGCCAAGGATATATTGTCCGGTTTTTTAATCTATATTTACACAAAGAGCAAAACATCTTTAAGATACTCGTATTCAAAGTGCGTGCATAAATAACAAATTATCAAGAGATATAACCGTTAAATACTTAGATAAGCACAGCTTAAAGCTGGCTCTGATACTTTGACATATATAACAACGTAACGTAATACTAATATATACATATATTTATTGCAAATCTGCTAAAAGAACAAAATGTAAACATTTCTCAAATACATACGTACATTTATGTACGCATACAATGCTCGATCTCCAGAATAGAACGCACAAGTCTTCAAAAGCAGCCCAAGTTAATATCTATGAATCTATGTAAATCAATGATTAAATTGCTAATTATTATTTAAATACCATAGCTGCAGACAATTGAATTTATATTTAGACAATTCTATCCTGGAGCTGAAGGCTATTCATGTATGTGTGCATAGCGTGCTGCAAATCTATGAGATTAATTACGTGAAACTAAATAATTGGGCACACTTAAATTAAATATATAAATATATATATAAATAAATATATATACAAATACAGAATTGAATATTTACATTCGAGTAACAAGCAAATAAATGATTGATCAAATAAAAGTAAAATGCTATTTATAAAATATTAATACTTATGAATAAAATACTCATAACTTAATATACATACATATTTATATTAATCGGAGATTGTGAGATGAAGCCCATATGTGGATAATGCTGCAAATGATTACTTTATTGAAACAAACAAAAGAAAACACTAAAATATTGTAACAAACAAATAATACTCATTGAATTTACACAACTATATGTGCAGAGTCAGAAAGCTCAGAATATTTTTCCCAATTTTAGTAAGTCCCTTTTTTTTTATTTTGATTTGTACTTTATTTGTGAATTGACTAACAAATTGTGTGATGAACAGAAATTTCGAATATGAAATCCATTGAGAGAGAGGGAGAATGAGAGAGTTTGTGCCAAATGTAATAAGCAACTGATGGAGCAATAAAGTTTTCAGAAACACAATCTTCCAGTTCCATACCAGTCGAAATAAGTATTCTGCATTGACTTGACCTGTGAATTGACTTCTGCATTGTATCACAGTCTAAATGATTTTAAATTATTATTTTGTTTAATTTAGAAGCTGAGCCAATCGATATGAACATCAAGAACATAAAGACTAACCTATTGTTAGTAAAGTGCAAACATAATGAAATCAGATAAAAAGAAAAATATCTTGTCCAAAAATGCAAATTGTTGCAACTAAAGCAAAACTTAAGAAATATTTACTTATAACCATGTGAAAGTTGAATTGTTAAAAACAATTAAAATCTAGATTGTATAACAATATCAGTAATAAAGATACATTCATTTAATTCAAGTAAATATTGTTATTATTATACTAATATAACTAATAAACATACATACTTTAAAGCGGTTCGGAGAAACCCAAATACAGAACTTAAATTATATATTAATAATACTTAAATGGATGGCAAAAAGTTAAAACACATTTACAATACAAACTATAATAATCAATACTAAAAATTCCCCGCCCTAAAAACAACAATAAAATATATGATAACGAAATCGAAATCGAAACAATTAAAATATTGAGATATTCTCATTAATTATTTCATGTACAATTAAATAATAAAAATATTTAAACTAACGCTCGCGCTCAGCTTTTTTCTTTAAATTTATTCCAGCTTTTCTCCAACCATTTTCCGCTCAAGGGAAATTCAAATTATTCGTCGAAAAGCCAAATCTTATCAACATCGGACCACTTTGCCATATAGCTGCTGTAGGATAGATCGGTGGACTAGTAGGATCTTTTTCGAGCTGCACTATTCAATCTATTTTTAAATCTTCGTCGTGCCGAAGACATCTTCACTTTATCGATTTATATTGAACTCGACTATTAGAACAGATTATTTGTATGGGCGCTATGTCAAACAGTTGGGATGTTGGGAATCCGATTATCTTGTTTTCCCACAAAAAGTCTGTGCCCGACCTATATTTCATATGGTAACAATATGATATTGTGGTGGGAGCCGGCCGACGTCGACAGGTGTATACCCTGCACTAAGCGGACGGACGTCAATCTTCTAGTTTTCATAGATACCTTGTCGAATCGGGTATTGATTTACTTTATTGCAACTTCTCTGGGTCTGCTTGAATGCATTACACGCAGACAAATTGCAGGGAACATACAATTGCATTATTTTGAATCTTATCAAAGTTGCTAATTGAGGTCAATAATATTGGGATTCAAAAAGTAGGCGCACATTCTAGTCTAGTCAGAGGCGGGCTTGCATTCGTATCAATCCAAGCAAACATAAAGTAGCACTAAATGTTTACTTTTTTTTGACTTTAGCTAGTTCATTAATATTGATGAGTCCAGGGTTATAAAGCTTAGGAATGAATTTATCGAATGGCCTGTATAAAAGGTTGTGCAAGTTTGGAAAACGTGTCATTTCAACGTCGGCTCTTTAATCTGATATCGGTTCCCTCGAAAATTAATTCTTGTTTCTTACATAAAGTGCATATAATATAATATCATTTCAAATGGAATCCGAAATTAAGAAATTTTATAAAAATAAAACGATTTTTTTAACCGGTGGCAGCGGATTCCTTGGCAAAGGTACAAAAACGTAAAAGTCAGCTACGGCAATTCACATTGGTATTGAAATAAAACGAGAAAGTAAGGATATCTTCGGCACACCGAAGATTTGATACCCTTGTAGACATTTGTCAGATAAGCGAAGCTCGTAAATGATGTAATATATTAAAGTAGTGTGCTCTTGATTAGAAAAAAACAAGAAGAGTTCAAATAGAAAACGCCGGAATTTTTCTCACAAGAACTATATTTTCCTCCGATCATGCCTATGGCAGCTGTACGATTTAGTAGTCCGGTGTGGATACGATTTTGCTTATATAGTGAAACTAATAAACGCCGAGCTTGGTCCATATACCTTGAGAAACAAAAAATTAGTTAACTTCCGATCGATCTTTCTTATTGTAGCTATAATATATAGATTCGATGTTGACAAGATTTAGGCACATATGTAAGGAACATATCTCGGGTGAATATTGTCTGATTTTGAAATGTTACACCTTTTTGAATTCGTACGGAACCCTACTATCAATTGACATTCAAAGAAATTTAAAATCGATGGGTTCAAAAAAGTTGTTGACCAAAAAACGATTCGATTGTAAAGTTAACCTTTTTTGACGATTTTTTGGAATATCTCGGCCGAATAATGTCTGATTTTAGAAATTTATACCATTTTGGACTCGTAAGGAACAGTTCTATCGATTGGCATCAAAAATATGAAAATCTAAATTTTGACCCAAATCAACCAAAAAGCAAGGGGTTACATCACGTTTTTACTCAAAATCGGGTTTCGGTTCGAAAATCAAAACTTTTTTGAGGTTTTTTTTTAATATCTCTGGTAAATATTGTCTGATTTTGAAATTTTACACCTTTTTGGGGTATAATAAGCAGCGAAAAGTATCGGAGTTTGTGGCTATATCAAGAGTTCTGTTCGATTGGGAAAGTTGGGTTCAAAGTCTAAAATTCTGGAACATAAATACTTTCAGTGATTATTGAGAAGCTGCTGCGTGCAACGGATGTGAAGCGCATCTATTTGTTGATTAGATCCAAGCGGGGCAAGGACACACAGGAGCGCTTTGCCCAATGGAAAACCAGTTCCGTGAGTATCCACAGTCGATCACGTCTATTTGTAAGTCGAGCAATATAGCTCCCAATCCATAGCTTTTCGATGTCCTGCTCAAATCCAAGCCGAACATATTCGATCGCGTGGTGACCATAGCAGGTGATTGCCAGGAGCCGGATCTGGGCATCAGCCCGAAGGAACGCGCACTGCTCACGCAGGAGGTGGAGCTGGTCGTGCACAGCGCGGCAACGGTGAACTTTGCCGAGCCGCTGCACGTGGCATTGGATATCAATGCGAGTGCCACACGCCAGATGCTGCAGCTGGCCAAGGAGATGCAGCGCCTGGTGGCATTTGTGCACGTCTCGACGGCTTTTTCCAACTGCGTCATCCATCACATTAAGGAACGCTTCTATCCAGAGCACTTGAGCTGCAGAGTGAACAAGGTATTGGAACTGAGAGAGCTGCTGAGCACGGATATGTTGGATCGGATGGCTCCAGCACTGCTGGACAGGTTTCCCAATACGTACACCTACACGAAGGCCCTGGCCGAGCAGCTGGTCCAGACGGAGGCGGGTGATTTGCCCGTGTGCATCTTTCGTCCAGGTTCAAGTAGGTAGCATTAGCTAATCCATTCGATTCATTTGCAAATGCTCCATTGTTACCGTTATTCAGTTGTGGCGACCAGCAAGGAGCCCGTTCCTGGTTGGATAGACAACATCTACGGACCCATTGCGGTGCTCTACGGCGTCTCATTCGGGGTTTTACGTGTCGCCCCCCTCAACCGGAAGGCCATATCCAACATTGTGCCCGTGGACGGCTGTGCCAATCTGGTTCTGGCCTGCGCCTGGCGTACGGCCATGGAGGCCACGCAACGTAAACAACAGGTTATCCCAGCCGATGCGACCATCTACAACTATGTGCCCAGCAGCGAGAATATAATCCACAATTCGGATTTCACTGGCGCCGTGGAAGGTAAACGGCACGTTTTTCCCATGACCCAGGCGATATGGTATCCGTTCCTGCACACCACCACGATACCGTGGCTCTTTAAATTGGCCACCATCTTCTATCATCTGCTGCCCGGCTACTTGGTTGATCTACTGTTGCGCCTGCGCGGCCAGAAGCCGCGCCTGATTCCAATCTACGACAAGATACACAAGAATATCGATGTGCTGCAAAAGTTTATGATCGAGAGCTGGAGCTTCGAGACGCCCAACACGGATCGGCTGTGGCACAGCATGTCTGCCGCGGATCAGCTCGAGTTCGAGTTCGACATGAAATCCTTGGATTGGCCTGGCTATTTCGATCGCGCCTTGTTCGGCATGCGCACCTACCTGGGCAAGGAGGAACCAACCGAAGAGTCCATAAGGCTCGGTCAGCTGAAGGTCAATCGGTATGTTGACTATTATTTAAATTTGAGCATATATCCCATCTGATATCTGTTATCTGTACTCTGAGCTTATGTCTACTTTCAGCTTCCTCATACTGCATCGACTCCTGCAATTCGGCATTTTCTGCCTTGGCATTGCTATTGTGAGATGGCTGCTCCTCCTGTTCCTGTAATTATGTAACCCAGGAAGACTCTATGCATATTTTAGAATCTTAGGTAGTTGTAACATTAGGTTTTAAAATATCTGGCTCAAATTAATATTGTTGCAAATGGGAGTGGTATTTTTATTCTATGCAGAGCTCGTGCCAACTTCATAAAATGTACATATTTCTTTTTGTAATAAACATGTCCCTAATCCCAGTTTCTGTCATCGAGCAGTCCTGATCCATTAAATTGCCTTATTGTTCCCGTTGTGGCCCAATCAACAAACAAAGTTAATGCCTGGCTATATATTTGATTTTTCTACTCTAAGTTTGGAAATAAACTAACGTGTATCCATTGTGGATAAATCTATGTTTCCGGGACCATAAATCGAAAAATTTAAAGACATTTAAATGAGTACGTTTCAATTGCCAAAGTGTATTATTAAATAAAAAATGTTCATATCTGACTGAATGGCTTTCATAGTTCAATTGCAATTATCTTGCCACTGTCAAAAGCTAATCGCTACGCCACCTCGCAGCGATGACAAGAACCAACAAGTACCCGAACCAATAAATTATCCAAGAGCTCAGCGCTATTTTCGAACGGATAAATATTTGTATACCGAACGTACTTCTATCCGAAGTTCTTTGTTATCTCAACGGAAATGATATTTGAATTTTCAATTCAAAAAAAATGCATAATTTGTAAATATATGGTATTCATTTATTAAATAAAATATAGATTAGTTTTTATATTGCTTCACAATAACTGACTAGAGTAAATCCACTAAAAACTAAAATTTGTATTAAATGTTTGAACTCTCCCTCGCCTTAAGGATCGTGTTGCGGAGCCTTTATCTAATGAACTTCAGGCATCTACAATGTTCGTTTTACGTACAATAAAATTGTACATTAAACTGACTAGAATGTCCCGATTAGGGATTGGTGGTGCTGTCCTCTTTTAGGCATGTAATAGTCCGTCGCTTTGGCCTACCAGCTTGCCAAGCAGCGCCTTGTACAGCACGGACTCCGTGGAGACACCCTCGCTCTGCAGGAAGAGCAGCGTTTCGCGTGCGCACATGGCAAAGCCCAGAGCCTCGGCTTCACTGCGTCGGGCTGGCGCTGGAAAGTTGGCTGCCACCTCGGCATCTTCTTGGACTTCTTCGTCGCTGTCGAATGCGCTGGCCTCGCGTTCGTCCAAATCCTGTTCGAATGAGTCCAACTCTGACTGCAGCTCCATGATCTTTTGCAAAGCCTCGAGCAAAATGCTGTTGGGCGCATCTCCAATATCGTTTGCTGGGCTATGCGACTGCTGAGCTGGTGGTGTATCCGATCTGGGCTCCAATTCCAAGCGATGGCGCTTCTCGCCAGCTGGCTCGTTGTCCAGCTCCTTGTCCGGCTGCTCCTCAGCTTGCTGGGTTCTAAGCTGATCCGCACGTTTGCGCTTCATAATCAGTTTCCCGGACATAAGGGAATCTTCTTCAGCTTTGGGTGTGTCCTGTATCCAGTTGGTTTTTGTCCGCGGCACAACCTTCGTTCACCTGGTGATCACAACAACTGAACGCCGAATGCACCCCAGCGCAGCACGAACGGCTCGAACTGTTGCAGGGAGCGCGATCCTAAAAGCAACCCCAACTGGAATAAGAGACAGCCGGGCATTAGGGGATGTGCCTGGCTGGAAATTAAAAGGCGACCAAAAAAATTGTTGCAGCTGTTGAAATTTGTCGGCCGCTGCTGGCAGCTGAAGCGGGAGGGCAACAGGATACTGGCAGGATATTGTGCTGCAATCCGAAAGCAACCCCTGACAATCTGCTCTCTCCTGCTGCAGCGGCCTGCTATCTCGTCCTCGTCCCAGTGACCCTCGCCTCGTTTCCCTTTCCGTTCTCGTTGCCTCGTGTCTGTTCCTGTGTGTCGGCTACCCTCACTGCGACACACTCTACTCCCTTGTATGTGCTGTGCATCGTAGCGCATTCGGGGATCGGCCCACTCCCAACCGAGCATTTGCAGCTGGCACGCTTCACAGGCATCTCTTCGATTTCTGTGGCGCTGTCCCTTCCGAGTACGCTTTGACCTGTCAATGTTAAGTGCACACCCATTACACTGAAAATACAAATTTGGTTGCTTCTTGTTGGTTGCACTTTTTATTTCATAATTTTGTGAGGTCGAAGGAAAATCCTTGAAATCTTTGAAATCATATGGCATACATAAATGCTTATTGCTCAAAATTTTATATATATATATGTTTTTTTTTGGTATTTTTATTTGCCGTTAAAATTACCTATTATTCAGCTCAGCTCAGATATTGACTCTAAACATTTTGTTGTTCTTTCTTTTTCGTTGGGCTCTTTTACATATACAAGAAAGTCAAGTTTAATTTTATTTTATATTAAATTATATCAAAGTAATATTACATTTTATATTAAAACTATTTTTTTTTCAGTGTATATAATAACAAACAGTATAAAATTGTTTGTAGGCAGTATTTTAAAATGAACTAAAACTATGATTATTTTAAAACCAAATATAAAAATATATTTTTTGAATCGTCGTTGAATGACGGACTTCTCTATAACAAATGTAGCATGTTGCTGGGTATGAAAATAGTTTGTTTTCAAGATAACTTGATCAAGATTGCGGTAGAAAACATTTAAATTTAACGGTAACTTTTCCAGTATCCATTAGATCCATATATATCGACAAGTTATAAGAGGTTGTCATCAATTTTCGAATACACAGATCAAGAATATTGTAATATTTCCCACAAAATAGTAGGAAATTCATTTTTGGAGGTATATTTATAGATATCGCATCCAATGTGGTGTGATATATGTATAGCAGGAAGGCTAACTGGGCGCAGGGTTAAGGATATCTCCTAGCAGGCACTCCCAACTACAGCAACATGTCTCTAGCCCCTCAGTAAGTATAAGAGTATAAACTTCTTTTAAATAGAAAAACCCAAAAAAGTATGGCAGCGGAATTTTCCACGAAATTCGTTAATTTAGTTCGATTTTCTCTGCTATATTTGCGAAAGAAAATAAAACTCATATTTAGAGTGTTATTTTTGCAAACGCAACTTGAGAATTTAGCCATGACTTAACATGCTGCGATTTAGAACAGATTGTTCATATATAAGTAGTATTAGCTAATGCCGCTATCAGATCGTGCTCTTTGCTACGAATAGAGGGGAACACAGCCGCAGGCACCTGCTTGGAGAGAGAGAGTGCTTAATTTTAATTTTAATTTAAAAAGCTGTTTTCTAACGATTTGAGTCCAGTTTGTGAACAGATTGTGTGATGAGTGCATGTAAGCGCCCAGAGTTGAGTTCAATTCAGTTTTATTCTGAAAGTCAGGCACTTTTCTGTGGATAATAAGGCTTGGATTAGCTGCATATCAAAATGATAACCCTTAGTTACTTGACTGCGATAAGGCTCTAGGCCTAAAGTTTTATATATATATTATTCACCTACAAATAACGTACTAAGCCTCCAACACGTATATTATGTAAATATTTTGCTATACCCTACATCAATCGGCATGTCCGACTTAAGAAAGTATACTTAAATATACCATTAATTGATTATATAGATACGAATAATCGATGTTTATAAAAGTCGAGCTCTAGTTTTCAATACCAAATTGTGGTTCTCCCATCAAATGTGGAAAATATTCTAAGTACCTAATGTTCTGCAAGTTTGGTGCTGGGTATCTTATAGTCGGATACCCTGGACAGAAACATTCCTACTTGTTTTGTGTGAGAGTAAATGTAAAAACTATTAGGTCAATAATTTAGATTAGATGTAAAGATCTTAGGTTGTAGAAATGATTATAGTACACAATTTAATATTATTAAAATTATGATTTAATCGTCAATTAACATTCATTAATTACAATCAGATAATTATAATTATTAATTATGAGTCAACAAAGCAACTAGAAAGTTTGAAATTGAGATGTTTCCATTCGTAAACTAGTCTAATTGCTTACTTTTGCATTTCCTGGATTAGATTCCAAGATTAATGTAAACAAACTTGAAGTGCACTAAAACTGGGTAGATGTTATCAAGACAAAGATTTCTACCCAGACTCCATATCACATTAGCCATATCGCATAGCCGTGTCTACAGGTGCATTCAGCTATGCAATTAATCCCAATCAAGCATTCCGTTAACATTTCAGTCCCAAAAATGTGGCAAAAGTGGCTGTTGGTATTTTTAGTGGTGTATGGGCACCTGATAAGTGCTAATCCCATCGAATCCGGAGACTCGGCCCTTACGGAATTCATAATTCTCCACAATAATGACATGCACGCGAGATTTGAGCAGGCGAATAAAAACGGAGGAGCTTGCACTCCGGAGGACGCGAACAGGGATAAATGTTTTGGCGGTTTCCCACGAATCGCTCACGTGTAAGTGCCCTGAAAAACTTTGGTCAATGAAAGTCTATTAATTGCTAAAACTTTCAGAGTGCGAAAATATCGCGAAGAGGCAAAGAACGGAGGAACTCCGGCACTTTATTTAAATGCAGGCGATACATACAGCGGAACAGTCTGGTTCACGGTCTTCAAGGACGAAATTGCCAGCACCTTACTCAATAAACTTCAGCCGGATGCTATGGTAAGATCTCATTGCGAACAATTGAGTACAAATCTTAATACCTGCTTGCGATTTGCGTAGTGTCTGGGGAATCACGAGTTCGATGAGAAAATCGCAGGACTTGTGCCCTTTCTGAATGCTGTGCACTTTCCGGTTCTGGTCTCCAACGTGAACTTCTCGAAGGAGCCCGAATTGGTGGCTACCAATAAACTAAGCAATTCAACAATTCTTGAGGTAAATGGAACTAAAGTTGGTGTCATAGGATACCTAACGCCGAAAACGAAGGAAGACTATATCAACAAGGTGGAGTTCAGTGAAGAAATCGTGTCCATCAAGTAATTGTGCATGTTCTTTTGCTAATGGACTTTATTATTAACTCTCATTAACTCCCATTTAGCGCTGAAGCACAAAGGCTAAAAGATCAGGGCGTCAATATAATAATTGCCTTGGGACATTCTGGCTACCAGAAGGATCAGGAGATTGCCAGAGATTGTCCCGATATCGATATAGTAATCGGCGGCCATTCGCACACATATCTGGACTCCAATCAACCCGTCGCTGACAAGGACGACACCAATCCTGAAGCGGTTCGAGGACCCTACCCCACCACGGTGATTCAGCCAAGCGGCAAAAAGGTGCCCGTCGTGCAGGCCTACACCAGCACAAAGTATCTGGGCAAGCTACATGTCCAGGTTAGGTATTGATACAACCCCCAAGATTTAATAATAACCTATTCTTATTTGGCAGTTCGATGCCAATGGCGATTTGATCAAGTTTGAGGGCGTGTCGCTTCTCTTGGACGCTTCAGTTCCGCAGGAGCAAGATTTCTTGGACTTACTTGATGTATATCGTCCCAATATCACGGCCAGAGGAGAACAAATCATTGGCCACACCAAGGTCTATCTGGAGGGCGGCAATATGTGTCGATTAAGAGAATGCAATCTCGGCAATCTGATTGCCGATTCCATGGTCTACACTCGCGTGCTGGAAAACAAGGGCGGGGAATACTGGACAGATGCGGCCGTTGCCTTGATTTCGGGAGGAGGTTAGTTTCAGACTGAATGCAATTGTTGTTCCACCTATTAAATATTTCCTTCTGTTGCAGGCATACGAACCTCGATTAATAAGAATGCCGAAGGATCTATTACTTTCAGGGACATGGCGGAAACGATTCCCTTTGAGAATCGTCTATTTGTGACGCGTATTACCGGGAAGACATTGCTCAACGCCTTGGAGCTCTCGGCCTCAATCAGGAACAGGGACTCCAATGGCGGCTTTCAGCAGTTCTCTGGCATACGAGTCGAGTACAACTACGACATGGAAGAGGGACACCGAGTGACCTCCGCCTTGATTCGTTGCGCCGAATGCAGTGTCCCTTCCTATCTCAATCTCGATGAATCGGCCTACTACAAGGTTGTTGTGCCGGAGTTTCTACTGAATGGAGGCGATGGCTTTAACCTCATCGAGTCGAACGATCCGTTCACTGAGCTCCTGGAACAGGACGACAAGGGTGCCCTACAACAGTATCTACAGGGTAGACATTTCGTTTATCCCGCCATAGAGGGTCGCATAGTTATAAAAAAATCCAATTAGTTACCTAGTTCCTCAAAAATAGAATACAATCAAAATTTTTCAAAATTTGTGCACAAATTTTAAACTCAAGTTGAAAATACGCAATGAGAAAGTTGTTGACCGTAAAAATGTATCTTCCACATATCTCTTCTGGGCAATATATTTATATCACAAATATCTCAAATATATATCGAGTAAATTGAGTGTATTTGTGCAAAAGTTTTGATCAATTTTGATACTAGATATTAAACATAAAATGTTGCAACATTAATAAATTAAATGCTTAACAGCCTGAACATTAACTAGTCGACAATTAAAAAGACTTTCATTTTCGGCAAACAAAAAATATTAAGTATAAAAAGGTCAATTAAATGCATTCGGGTGAAAGGCTCTTAAGCAAAAAGGAGAATTGAAGTCGGGCCAAACCGACAGCGCGATACTCTGCTCATAATGTATCAACAGATGAAAAGGGCTAGAAATGCGATTTTAGAAACTCGAATAGACTTTAAAATTGGAGGAAATATACAATTTCACTAAATCCTTCAATAAACTTGGTTAGTTCAGCCCTAAAACTGCAAGGTTTTGGAGTCTCTAGCTTAAAGGTTCTTTAACTATGACGTCTTTCGCCCATTTCAGGAATATATTAGGCTTTCTACATTTTAACAATCACAATCGCAGCTTTAGATAAATTATAACAATATATTTATTATGTATTTTATAGGCTGTTCTAGCTTCAGCGATAAATATGGATAGTTAGACGGTCGGACAAGAAGACAGAATATATTATTTTTCCTTTAAATTTTAATATGTTAATTCTGTTCTTGATCAGATGGCAAGCTTAATTGATATCAGAGATTATAATAATGTAGAAAATAATAATGTAGTAAGATAGTAATATATTTTAGTTAGGCCTCAGCAAGGTCCTGCGTTCCTTAATCTTGCTGAAGAAACCTTGAACAGAACTGAGCAATAAAACTCTGGCCTAATGCTTCCTAATATGCCAAGGAATAGTTGTTTGCAGAGCCTACCATCTGCTTTATGGGAGGGGCTAATTGTGGGCAGGTGAGATTTGTTCGTGTGTCAGGTAGGCGAAATTAACTTACCTTACCTTGTCAAAGTCCCGCAACAGACAAGCCAATCAAGACAAAGCTAATCTGATCAGACTGGAATCTAAGAGACTTTGTATTAGTAATAATTCGATTTTTTAGCAAAGTTTGGACTTTGTTGTATAGTCATCGCAGATAAGATATTCTGTGGTTTTTTGGATACCTTATCTCCCTACGCCAAAATAAAACAAAACTATATTTTTAATTTGTGTTGTCTGAGCAAAGCTTTGATGAATATCTGAAAGTATTTGATATTGCAACAACTGCTAAAATACAAATTTAATTTAATGTAAATTAAATGTAATGGAAGAAGAGACATTTAGTTGAATTACAAATTTTGATATTCAACCGTAAATAACGAGTATTGAGTTATCACTGAGCGGAAGCTGTCAGTTTTCTCCGATCTGACGAAAATCAATTTTATTTATTTCGAACAGAGCCTAATAAATATCTTGCCAAAGTAAAAATCTAAATGTGGAAGAGCATAATGAACAACGTGAACATTATGTTTGACATAATATATACTATATGTTATTATGCTAGAAAAAAAGCTGGATGATAAACTGACACATGGTCTAGATTATTTTTGCCAAGATTTCTTTGATTTACGATCGGGAAACAATACATGGCTTTGTTATCATTTTCATTTTTAATAATTTTTTGCGTAAAACATATTGATAGCAGAAGAGTTTTTATAATTCACAGCCGCAGAACAAGATAATGTTTGTTCGTAAGATCTTTTGGCAACTTCTGCAGCTGTCTTTTTCGTTGGCATTGACATATGAATGTGAATGTGAATGTGAATATGAGCTGTGAATAAGTGTCTGAGTGTTTATATGTATAGAATATTTGAATATGCCCATGTACTAGTACGAAAGTTACAGTAGCTAAATAAATACATGAGTACATAAGTATCTGTGTGCCTATGTGTGAATGTATGTGTTAATATGTAAGTATATTAGTATGTGTGAATGTATGTGTGCATTGTTGTTGTTTGCGTGGGAACATCACGTTCTGTTTGGGCAGCTGTTCGATATATAACAAACCTGTAGAATGTATCTATGCATGTGGAATGGCAGTATCTTCTGCACGAAACACGCAGGCAATATCTATATATGCATAGTTTCTGCAATTTTCGATTATACTAGTTAGAACGTATATAGAAGGTATATCAGTATCCGCAGCTACTGAACCCGATGACACCTATGGACTAGAGATGCGACTGGTGATAACAGCCCTCAGCTATATCAGTTAGTCAAGAAAATAAGGAATGAGACAATATTGGAGAGATAATCACATCGCAAATAGCAATTAGAGTCGTAGTGCTCGTATCTGCAAATAAATACAATAGAGCTATTAAAATCATTGCCTTCGCCAGAAACACAGCCAAAAAAAAAACAGAAAAAAACAAAGCAGAAAAAAAACAGCAACAGTCGCAACCACGCGCTGCTCGTATCGTAATCGGGCGCTCAGCGAGACAATATTCAAGTATTTCGGTTATAGCCGCTGTTCCACGACGTTTTTGGGCCAGTTTGTTGGCGGATTGTGTGACGAGAGCATGTAAGTACCTGCCTACGGCTGGCTGGCTGCACAGGTGTTTTCCCGACGCGAGATTTCTGTTGCACTACCTGTTGATATCGTGCAATTGTCAATCTGTATTGTTCGTATGTACATATATAGAATTACGGGTAAATGGAGACTACTTTCGATCCACTTAAAACTCAGGGGGAGAGAGAGAGAGAGGGAGAGGGAGAGGGAGGGCGAATTTAACTTGCAGTCTTCGTATCCGATATTCATTCATTTCTTGTATCTACACACAATCCGCACACAATCAGCTGCTAATTAATAGGTATTACAGTCCATGTCATTGTATTTACATACACAAATTTGGAGTCCATACGTAAGCACACGCATATATATTCATTTTAGTTTTTTTTTTAAAGAGGCCACAAATCATTTAATGAACGAAAACTTGCGTCCGTCTTTTCACGTTTTCACGTACTTCGTGTAGGTACATGTTTTAGATTAGATTTAGTAGCTATTATAATCTTGAATATTGATTTGCTATGAAAAGTTTGCAGCCAATACAGCACATGTCATCTGCTGATAAGCTGTTATTTATTAATGAATCGCCGATAAAAATTGATTTCTCTCACAACAAAACAATATGAGTTAAATATTAAAGATAACGGATATAACGATTATTACGAAATTTAGTCACATTCGCAATTTTGTTCGAGATCAAATTGCGTAAGCTTCATGTACATATATTACATGTAATATACTCCTCTTCAGCTCGAGTATGGCTTATCAGTTGATTATCGTGGCATGCATTTTGCTGCTCGGCCGGACGACCGCCAATCCCATTGCTCCGAGGACCGTTGCCACGGAGCTCATAATTCTGCACAATAATGACATGCACGCGAGATTCGAGCAGACGAACAAGAACGGAGGCACGTGCACCCAGGAGGATGCCAATACGGACCAGTGTTACGGCGGATTCGCGCGGGTCGCCAGCGAGTAAGTGGAATGGACTGAACGATCCAGGGGTCAATCTCTACTTAAACCAATTCTTTCAGAGTGCGCAAGTATCGAGAAGAGGCTAAGAACGGAGGAACTCCGGTGTTTTACCTGAATGCAGGTGACACCTACACGGGAACAGCCTGGTTCTCGGTTTTCAAGGACAACATTACCAGCGCTTTCCTCAACAAACTGCAGCCGGATGCTATTGTAAGAGCCATTCAGTTCGCAAATATATATTATATTAAATACTTTGCCTTTTTGTAGTCACTTGGAAACCACGAGTTTGATAAGAATGTGAAGGGTCTGATACCATTCCTCAATGCCGTGGAGTTTCCCGTTCTGGTGTGCAATTTGGATTTGACCAATGAGCCCGAGCTGGCGGCGACTAAGAAACTGGCCAACTCCACGGTTCTCGAGACGAACGGAGTTAAAATAGGCGTAATTGGCTATCTCACTCCGGATACCAAGAATCTTTCCTTCCAAAACAATGTGGAATTTGCCGAGGAAATCGTGTCAATCAAGTAAAAGCGCCCGTTTCTTACATAAATCATAATTTGTAACATCTTTGTATATATTTTCAGTGCTGAGGCAGAAAGGTTGAAAGCTGATGGCATCAAGATTATTATTGCCTTGGGACATTCTGGCTACCAGAAGGATCAGGAGATTGCCAGAGATTGTCCCGATATCGATATAGTTATCGGTGGTCATTCGCACACTTATCTGGACTCCAATCAACCCGTCGCTGACAAGGACGACACCAATCCTGAAGCGGTTCGAGGACCCTACCCCACCACTGTGGTGCAGCCAAGTGGCAAAAAGGTGCCCGTGGTGCAGGCTTATGCTTACACAAAATATCTGGGAAAGCTGCATGTCCAGGTTGGTTGAGGCTTAAGTACACATAAGTATATGATTTGTAACCTTTGATCCAGTTCGATGCAGAGGGCAATTTGATTGAGTTCGATGGATCGCCGATACTTTTGAATGCGTCAGTTGCGCAGGAGCAAGACCTGCTGGATTTGCTTGAGGTATACCGTCCCAATATCACGAGATTGGAGCAAACAATTGTTGGATACACCAAGGTCAATCTTGAGGGTGGCAATATCTGTCGCCTGAGGGAATGCAATCTCGGCAATCTTATTGCGGATTCCATGGTGCACACCCGAGTGCTGGAAAACAAGGGCGGCGATTACTGGACAGATGCTCCGATAGCTCTGCTGCAAGGCGGCGGTAAGTCTGACAATTTTGACAATTCTGAGCCAATCTAAGTCCAAGCTTTTATTTCTAGGCATCCGGAGCTCCATTGACAAGAATGCGAACGGTTCCATTACGGGCAGCGACATTCTCACAGTGCTTCCTTTCGAAAATAGCCTCTATATAACGCGTATTACGGGAAAAACATTGCGAGCTGCCTTGGAACGCTCGGCCTACGTTCGCAACCTGGACTCGAACGGCGGCTTTCTCCAGTTTGCCGGAGTTCGCGTCGAATACAACTACGACAAGGAGGAGGGGCAACGCGTGGTCTCCGCCTTGGTGCGTTGTGCGGAGTGCAGTGTGCCCGCCTACAGCAATCTGAACGTATCCGCCTACTATAAAGTAATCGTGTCCGAGTTTTTGCTGAATGGCGGCGACGGATACGTATTGACCGAGGAGCATGAACCGTACTCTGAACTCTTGGAGAAGAACGATCAGTTTGCGTTCGGTCAGTATTTGGAGGCGCGTCATTATGTCTATCCCGAAATCGAGGATCGTATTATAATCCGAGGTCCCACAGATGCAGCGGGTAGCATTATTGGCTCCGTGGCATTGATCATACTGTCTTCCGTGCTCACGCGCTTCTTTAACTAGTTGTAACTACTTTTGTATTTGTGAGCTCCAGTAAAAAGTCGTAACTGCCTAGGTTTGAATTTATAAGATTAAATGTACAATAAATATCTTAATGCCTCCATAGATCTCTAGCACAACATACCAGGCCTTATCTTGCGATCTATTTGTGGCATCACGTGCGACAGTATATGTCAAGTGTTTATAAGTAAATCAGCGCATATACATATACATATATAAATACACAAAACCGTCGAGTCACTGAACACATTTCGTTTATATAGTAGAGATTATTGTGATCATAAACACGAACTCAGCATAATGCGATAAGTGAAAACCTTATCTCAGGTAAAGTGAATAATTTTCCATTTTTATTACAAAATGTACACTAAACTACATCAAATTGAAATCATAAGTGCGAGTGGCTTATTCAAATTGGTGATTTACACCTGATTCCATCAGGCATTACATTAGTATTAAAATATTCTTCCTAACAATCTGCTCAAACCTGAACGGCTAATGGCCTATACTTACACTCCAGATTGTAAATAAATAAAATTGACAAGCATATAATAATCAATAATCAGTAATAAAAATATAAAAATAATTAAATATAAAAAAAATACTTTCTTTAATTAGACTCGAACACGAAACAGATCGCACTACTTACTACTAAACAACCCTTTTTACCCATTTTGAATGGGTTCAAGATATAAATATATTCAAGTACAAATTTAACAATTAAACAAACTGTAGACATTAATATAATCGCATTTCGGAACTATATTGTGAATGTGGGCAATCATTATATATTATTATGGAAATAACGAGCACATTTGAGCGTTATCCGAAATCAGCTGGCAACTTTTTGATTGGCGCTTCAAATGTCTTAATCAGGAACTGAATGTCATGATACACAGCGCATAAACTAGGCATGTGTTGATTTTGTGTGTCTGGAACAAGTGCGATCTATATTTAAGTTTTTTTCACAGACACTTTACTTTAATTTCCGATTCAATGCATTTGAGAAATGCGACAATATACAGTTTAATTTCGACATTGCGCCAGCGACAATACACATACATTATATTGCTGTTTATGCAAATGTATCTGTGTCCAGTTGCTTGTGTGCTGAGCATATCGCGCGATCGATGCTCATGCCGCAGCTGATAAGACAGCCATGCAGACAACGTAAAGTAATTGCAACAGTAAACCCTCTCTCATGCTCGCTCTCACTCTCTCCGTCTCTCTCTCTCTCTCTTTTGCGTGGGTGTTGTGCAGAACTGCAAATTAGGAACCAATTTCGATAAATGACAGATGACAGATCTGCCGAGAACTGAACCAACGCCGGCTGCGAAGTTTGTCTCTCTGTTTGCCTCTCTGGCGGCATTTGCAATGCGTTTAATACCAGTGCGGCTGCGGACGTTGGTGGCAACGGTTGTTTCGCTGCCAGCGCGAATAAGTTGCATTTGTGATCTTCGCAATTGTTGTAAGTACCGTGAAGGAGTCCGTGTGTGTGTGTGTGTGTGTCGCATTAGTTTACCCAATTTGTCTTGTTATGGCCCTGTTTCCCGGCAACCTAAACTTTAAGGTTTTTACAATCGATTTGAACCTGGCAATTGTAACAGCTCGTTTGTATCTACAGGTATCTCTGTGCGAGTTTGCACTTACCTTTTTACGGTACAACAAGTAGATTGTTTATTGTAGGTATACCATAAAAAATAACTGCGAGTTTATTTTAGTTGCCCATACTATTCTGCTACACTTAAATTAATTGCTTGCTGTTAGCGGCTGTGGCTATTCGAAAGTCAGACCTGTTCTGAAATATGAGTATTCATCTAAAAGTGATTATATTCAATTATTGAAATTAGAGTTGAATTCAAAAAGCAAACTGCAATTTTACAATTGTGCTAAATAAGTATAAAAAAGTATAACAAATGTTTATATACCAAATATTGTAATCAACATATTTAATTTGTTTATGTATTCAATTTCTGGAACTTGTTTAAGAGTAATTCCGGCAAAACTGAAGCTCAATAAACACTTTAAAATTTTTAGGTGCTAAACAATTTAATTAGGGCCCATATTCACCCAGATTTATTTGATTTAATACAGGCAAGATATATTATCTGATGAAAACGATTGACACGTAATTGTGTAATTGTGCTGATTTTTCTTAAAGTCATTGACATTCGACAGAAACTGAAAATGCCAACTTAAAGTTGAACCAGTGCCCGTTGTCAAGTTAAGTATTTCACAAAAAACAAAATTTGTTGTGTAAACAAATTAATTGGCCTAAAAATTAAAACTGTGCAAAACAACACATTTGCTCCGAAACTCGTTTGTTAATATTTTATTTCGATTATATTTATAAAATTATCTGTTTGCTTTTGAAGAAACGACTTTGTACTATGTAGATAACGTGTTTTATGTTAGGGGAAGCAATTAACTTAACTTAACTTACATATGCATTTAGGTGACAAGCTACAAAAGTGTGCCCTAACTCATATTTAACAATAAGTTCACAAATTTAATTTTAATTTTAAACCAACAAACAATATTTGGGCACTTGGAGAGGGTAACTAAGTCGTTGATAAAGTGTGCTAATAAAAGGTGTAGGGTATTCGGAAGGTGTAAACTGTGTCAAAGTTGGTAAACTTCTTTGACCATCCATAACAACGTATGCATTATTAAAAGAAATAAGAGTCCTCTAGTCGCGAGTGCCCGACTATATAGAATATAGAATACCCTGGACCTTCTACCTTCAATGGCTTAAGAAAATGGCTTATAAAAACTGGCTATGCGGGGATTCATCAAGAAGTATTATTTTGAAGGGATAGTTAATATAGTATATTACTCAATCAGTCTGCCAGTTAGCTAATTGAATATAAAGCTCCAAGTTTTTGTTCGAATTTTTCATATTTTAACTTTTAATTATTCACAATATTTATGAACACATTCTTAACTATTTGTTGAGTATATATATTTAAAGCGAGTAACATTGGATTAAATATTACTACACTAAACACTATAGAAAATGCATCGTTGAATAACTTTTGTAATTTTTACGGGACCTAAGAATAGATAACTAATGTACCCATCTTTACTTATACTTAATGAGCACTGGGAGTAAAAACGGAACTAACCCAATTGACTTTGATATTGTTTTATTAAAGTAGCCACTCCCAACCATGCCTATTTCCACACATCCATATTTATTGTCCGAACAATCGATTAAATTTAAAGGGGAATATCCCGTGCCCATGATCGAACTGCTTTAACATATATATTTTGATTGCATGTACTATATAAAACCTTATTGGAGTTTCAGCCTCTCCCGGCATAAGTTATTTGCTTCAAATGTTGGTCATCAATTTTCAATCCACTTTCCTCCCGTGAGAAATGTAAATCTATCAATTTTGCAATTGCACTCTACGTCTCAAGTCATATATAACACTAACAGGTATTTCCCGGTTCAGTTTTTTGCATTAAACTTTAGACAAAAATGTGCACACATTTGCGGTGGACAATTCACAGACAAACCATCTCGAACTCCACATCTGATGCTATATTTAGCATAGATAATTATTTTGTTGGCTGACTCGAGGTCCGCGTTTGTTTAGATAAAAAGTTAAAAATAAATTTAATTTAATTTAATATTTTGCTTCCAATAAATTTCTTCAGGGCAATTATTTTACACGTCTGCGCTTTTAGACGTGGAGAATGATCAGTTTAATTTTTATGGATATCGATAAATATCGATTTAAAGTTTTAAAGAGTATATGAGTTAATTGATTAATAATGTATGTGTGTTGAATATGATGTTCCTAAGTGTTTAGACCCGTGTTTTTTGAAAAGCTTTTTAATTTTCTCTTCTCTTTTTTTAATTCTTCGAAGCTCCAGACTTAAAATGTCCCATCAATATAAGCTTTTGGCCATCCTGCTGTTGCTTGGCAACAGGATAACAGCACATCCAATAGAAGTGAAGCCCGCCGTGGCTACTGAGTTCATTATACTCCACAACAATGACATGCACGCCAGGTTCGAGCAGACGAATGTCAACAGCGAAAGTTGTCCGCCGGAGGACGTTAAAAGGGACAAATGTTTTGGCGGCTTCGCACGTGTGGCCAATGTGTAGGTACTTAAAAAAAAATACATTTCTTAACATGCCTAAGAGAATATAATTTAATTTCAGAGTTCGAAAATATCGGGCAGAAGCTAAAAATGGAGGAACCCCCGTGTTTTATTTGAATGCCGGAGATACGTATACGGGCACCGCGTGGTTTACGGTCTTCAAAAATAAAATCGCCAGCGATTTTCTCAACAGGCTGCAACCGGATGCCATCGTAAGAATCAATAATAGAAAGTGTAATAAACCTTTTACATTTATTTGCTGTACTTAACCCAGTCTCTAGGAAATCACGAGTTCGATGAGAAAGTGGAAGGACTCGTGCCATTCCTGAATGACGTCAACTTCCCGGTATTGGCCTGTAACCTGGATCTCACAAAGGAGCCTGCAATGGCTGCCTCCAAGCATCTAGGCAATTCGACAATACTGGAGGCAAATGGTACGAAAATTGCCGTGATTGGATACGTTACACCAGACACAAAATTGCTGTCCTTAAGAAATAACGTGGAATTCAATGAAGAAATCTCCTCAATCAAGTGAGTATACAAATTCGAATTATATTAATATTATATATTAATTTTAAAAAAAAACACATCACTCGGGAAAGGTTGTTTAATACCAATGTTTATATCGTCTTTTCTTTATTTGCAGCAAAGAGGCGGCCAAACTAAAGGCGCAAGGCTTTAAAATAATCATTGCCCTGGGACACTCCGGTTATATAAAAGACCAAGAAATAGCCAAAAATTGCCCCGAAGTTGACCTTGTTATTGGCGGACATACGAACACATTTCTGTTTAACGGAGAGAAGCCAAGTGTCGAAAGTATAGACGGTCCATATCCCACTGTAATTAGACAGAAGAGTGGTAAAAAAGTGCCCGTGGTACAGGCCTACGCCTACACGAAGTACTTGGGTAAATTGCACGTGAAGGTTGGTTGAGGAGCAAGAAAAACAAGAAAAATTTCTATTAATCACATATTCCTTGACAGTTCGATAAAGAAGGAAATTTAATCGAATTCGATGGTTTGCCCATCCTATTGGATTCTGGAGTCGCGCAAGACAAGGAATTGCTTAACCTGTTGGAAGTTTACCGTGAGAATGTTACGGCCCTAGAGAAGTCCATTGTGGGTCATAGCAAGGTGTACCTTGAGGGACGTAAGACCGTTTGTCGTTTGGTCGAGTGTAATATGGGAAATCTGATTACCGACGCGATGATATTCAGCAGAGTCATGGAGGATCAGGGCGGCGATTACTGGACAGATGCGTCCATTGCCATTCATCAGGGTGGCGGTAAGTTTTCTCAATATGCGTAATGTTCCATTTGGAAAGTAACCTCTTCATACTTCCAGGCATTCGCAGCTCAATCGAACGGAAATCTGATGGCATTATCACTCAGAGCGACGTGCTGGCGGTCCTTCCCTTTGAAAATGATCTTTACATCACAAGAATCAGTGGGAAGACCTTAAGGAATGCTCTGGAACATGCGGCCGCGGTTAGATATAAGGATTCCGACGGAGCATTTCTACAGGTATCCGGCTTGCATGTGGTCTACAATCCGGATATGCCAGAAGGTCATCGGGTTACCTCTGTGGAAGTGCGTTGCGCCAGTTGCACGGTGCCAACCTACAGCAGTCTGAACGATGCCTCCTACTACAATGTGATTGTGCCGCAATTCTTATTCGATGGAGGAGATGGCCACATAATGATTGACCAAACGAATCCTGTGTCGATACGGATGCAAAAAACGATTGTTGAAGCCGTTCAGCAGTACCTTCAGCAGCGGGAATATGTCTATCCGGAGGTGGAGGGCCGCATTCTGTTCAGAGGAGTAGGGGGAAAAAAATCAACTGGATCCACGATAAGCATTATGAGCTCCCTAGCATTGATGCTATTTTCATTTGTAGTCAATCGTACCTTTTAACTGATCTTAATGTGAATATTCATCTAATGATAATTACAATAAAATACAATAATAATAATAAAAATTATAATAATAATAATAATAATATTATTAATAATAATAGTAATAATAATAATAATAATAATAGTAATAATAATAAAAATACTAATAATAATACTAATAATAATAATAATAATAATAACATTAATAAAAATAATAGTAATAATAATAATAATAATAATAATAAGAATAATGATAATAATAATAATAATAATAATAATAATAATAATAATAATAATAATAATAATAATAATACTAATAATAATAATAACATTAATAAAAATAATAGTAATAATAATAATAATAATAATAATAATAATAATGATAATAATAATAATAATAATAATAATAATAATAATAATAAGAATAATGATAATAATAATAATAATAATAATAATAATAATAATAATAATAATAATAATAATAATAATAATAATAATAATAATAATAATAATAATAATAATAATAATAATAATAATAATAATAATAATAATATTAATAGTATTAATAAAGTTTAATAAAAATAATAATAAAATTAGTAATAATAATAAAAAGGTTAAAAATAGTTATAATATTAAATGTTATATTGTTAATAAATATTATGATAAAAACTGTTGGTTCCTGTCATTATGAGTTAACTTAACTTTAAATCTTTGGTAAATTGATTCGAAGAATTAATTTGTAATAATTCATTAACATCAAAAACATACATTTTTCTGTACAATTATCTTCTGCCTATAAAGCTATAGGATCTGGAGTTTCGAAGTTAATCAAATTCATTAGAAGCATAGTGAAAAATTTCATAACATAATTATTTTTTGACCGATCATTTCTATGACAGAAATAATAGTTTGATCCAAAAATGGACCTTATCAAAGTTTCATGACGATATTTTTAAAACTGTTAGACTAGATACTCAAAACTAGATCGACAGATTTGGATGTTTGATAATGATCAAACATAAACATACTTTAACAGATCGGAGATTTCTACTACTATGCATTACGCATTTCAAGACAACATTATAATATTCTGCTATACTTTTCTAAACTATTTTTACAAATCTTGTATTATGTTCGAACTTCATTCAAAATGTAAGCGGTTTGCTCAATGGGACTTTTAATTAATGCAGAATTTTCATAATTTATGTTTCCTTAATTAATTAGACTAAGCATCGTGTCCTATCGAACCAGCCCGGCTTAAGCCAATAATTCCAACTTTTTTACCAAATAATTGGAAAGGAACAGTTGAACATAAAGTTGAATCGATCCATATTTATAACAACATTATTATATATATATTATATATTATAAATTAGATAACTTTTGGTAAATAAAAACATTCAAAAAAAAAACTTAAATTTAAATCAATTTATTTGTTTACTGTATGAATTTTGTAAAAATATCGTCAATCCAAACCTGGATTCATATGAATCATATATGTTGACCTTGGGCTGGGCTTGTTTCGAATCGTGAACCAGGCCTCCGAAAAGTTAATTCGATTAAAAGCTGAAAAATGAAGTAATCTGATATTTGTGTTGTTGAAAACTAAGTAACAATTCGTTTAAAATTTATATCCAACTTATCTGAGCAACTTTTCCTTTGCATTTATGTGAGAACAGAAAATATAAAAAAAACATAAGATTTCTATTTCCATGGATTGGTTAATAGCGCACTGGAGTTTAATACTACTGCCGATGTTAACCAGAGGAGTCCACAGTTTTAGATTCACAATTTTACACAACAACGATATGCACGCCAGATATGACCCGATATCGAGCAGCAGCGGGAAGTGCCCCAAAGGAGACGACGAGAAGGGCCTGTGCTTTGGAGGATTCGGTCGAGTAGCTACTGTGTGAGTTAATACTAATAATACTACTAATACTAATCAAGTTTATATGAAGAAAATGACACTGACTAACTGACACTGTCTTAGTGTGACACAGGCTCGGGCAGAGGGTTCCATGCTGTATCTAAACGCCGGCGATACCTTCCACGGCACGAACTGGTATAGACTCTACAAGGGGGATCTGGCCGCCGACCTATTGAATATACTCAATCCCGATGCCGTGGTAGGTAAGACCGAAACATATATCGATCTCGTAATTGTTGGATTATTTGGCAGTCCCTTGGCAATCACGAATTCGATGACAATTTTGAGGGATTTGTGCCTTTTCTCAAGAAGGTCCGGTTTCCCATTGTGTGCTGCAATTTGGATCTGCGCATGAGCCCAGAGCTACATAATCTTGGGAATTTAGTTCGTTCAACGATTATTACAAAGTTGGACAGAAATATCGGCATAATTGGATATCTTACGCCAAGCACGAAATATTACGTACCCTATAATTCGATTGAGTACTTTCAAGAAATACCCTCCATTAAGTAAGTATACTGTGGATGCAACTTTATAGTTGACAAATCTTTAATGGCATCAACAAGCTTGGAGGCGAAGAGGCTGCGCAATAAGGGAATCAACATCATAATTGCCCTTGGACATTCTGGCTACGAAGTGGACAAGAAGGTTGCTCTGCATTGTCCAGACGTTGATCTCGTCATCGGTGGACATTCTCACACTTTCCTATATACGGGCACTCCACCTGAGCGAGAGAAACCGGAGGGAAAATATCCGACCGTGGTGACCAGACGAAATGGCCAACAAGTTCCTGTTCTTCAAGCGTATGCATTCACAAAATATATGGGTAAAATCGATTTAGTGGTGAGTATTTTATGGATACATGAGAATTCCTTACTGAAGGTAGAATCGTAAATCTTATATTAACCAATATCTGATATAGTTCGTAAATTATGTCGACTAAATTCAGTTCAACATGAATGTTATATTGTTACTCACTTTAATACTCTAGCCATGTCCGTCCGTCCTCCTGTCCGTCCGTCCGTCTCTCCGTCCGTCCGTATGTAGGAATGCAGGGATCTCAGAACCTATATGAGCTAGAGACTTGAAATTTGGAATGAAGGCCCTTTAAGTGCCAGCGCAATACGAGTTTGTTTCCGTTAATCGATAATTTGCCCCGTTTTCAAAAAATCGATAAAAATCGATAGCGAAATCGTATTTTTTGATTATAACTAGTTTTTTTACTGTTGAATTGAGTTGGCAAATAGTGTGGTCTGTTACGAGATTTATTTAAACAAACAAATCAAATCAATCACAGGACATGTTAAACTAAATACGATTTCATATTTTATATTTATGCTTTTTAGTTTGACAATAATGGGAACTTGGTAAATTTCAGTGGCAGCCCCATTTTATTAGACTACTCGATTCCGCATCAAGCCGATATTATGACTCTACTGGCGACAAAGAGACAGCGGGTTGATTACCTGGACGGCAAGGAGGCCAAAAAGAAGACTTCGTTTTTGAAAATGATGTTTTCCGAATCGGCACTACAAAAATCGACAGGCTATGCAGCTAGCCTAGTCAACATTCTGGCTTTGTTATTGTCATTGTTTGTCTTATTACGAAATAACCGATAATCTAAACATTTTTCAGTTTTATAATTTTACAGAGTAGCATCCATAAAAGAAAATAGGAAGTAATAAAGTTTTGAAATTTATATGAAAAATTTACAAGTGGAAATGAGCCTTTCACGGGTTGGGTTACCATGGAACCATTTTCTTTTATCGCAAGTGCGTTCATTTATTCTATTTTAGAGGATATTGCCCGGCCTTGCTCGTGAAAAGCTTGATGTTAAGAACTTTATATATTAAATTTCCACGACAGTGGAAAATTGAAATCTACCCGAACCATCTCGATCTCATCTATTAAAAAATATGATCAAAGTGCATCGAATAAGGAATCAAATGTTGGAATCAACTGTTTCCGCCCATGTGAGTCTTGTGGTGAAAATCTTGAAGCCGAAAAATAAGCTTTCGTTTAATAAACCTTTGACCCACATTTTCCATCCAAGAGCGGTGAGCTCTCTAAAGAACCTATCAATGAAATTCTCTAAAAGAACTTTGAAAATGAGTTTGAGGCCGATCGGATGATAAACAGCAACTTTTCGCGATTTTTCCACCCATGCGGGTGGAATCTCGCGAAACCCCGTCTTAACGTGCACCTTCATCACGGTAACTACAGTGAACTCCCGACTATAGGCTCTTACTGTTTACTTTTTTATGTTTTTTCAACTTAGCGAAAGATGTTTGGGCCAATATTCTCAATGATTCTATGTAAAAGACCAATAATTCTTACTAAAAGATCTGAAATTGTTGCACAAGTAATTAATACCGTTTTTTTTTTGTTTTTAGCCATTTGAATTGGGTAGAGGACATAAAACATGAACAACCGAAATGATTCTTAGGTTCCGCACTAAATTATCCCTGTTACCTGTTGCTGAGGCTATTGTTGCTGTAGTTGTAGTTGTTGTTGTTGCTGCATTTCAAAGTTGTACGTGAGGAATGTTTACCTTTTTGTGAGTCTGAGATTGCCGTTTCAGCAAAGGAGAAACTTTTTATATACGTTCGTTGGACCCAGCTAAACATTTCAAGGTTGTCTTCAGAGCCGCCGAGCCGAATGCGTGCCTCTGTCCACGATTGAGTATACATACATACATATGTATGCAGGTGTAAAACTGTATAGACGCCTTTCATTAACCACTTTCCGTGGCAACAAGAGCATCAGTCAGCAAAACTTCAAACGAACCCAAAGTCAAAATCAGTCGCCCTCGTCTCCCTCTCCCTATCCCTCTCCCTCTTTGACTAAGGAGGAGTTGAGATGGAGTCGAGATGCTGGCCAAGTTAAAGGCGAGGGCGAGACTGACGTCTTTTAGTTATTGTTAATGTCTTCTGTCTACTGTGAACTGTCCAGAGTCCATCGTCCATTGTCCGTCACGACTTCATCTCCATCTTCATCTTCATCCAGTTGTGAGTGACACCAACACCCTGGCACATAAAAGCTGATGTAATGCGTCTGCGCCAACTCTTTTAATCCTCTTTTAAATTAAGAAAAATGATTTGCACATTTCACTGCAAGCCATGTCCAAT